TACTTCTTCCTCCTGCTCCTCCTCCTCCTCATCATCATCTTCCTCGCCTCCCCAGCTGGTCTGAAACAGCAGCGGCTCATCCTCCACATCCATGCTGGCACCTGTCAGGGACACATAACACCACTTTATCCTCACTCACTAAACCAACACCCCCTTTCCATCTTCGGAGGAGAACACATTGGATGTTTGAACTCCAGGATGAAGGACACAAGTGAATGCATCAGACAGAATGAAGGACAAGATAACTTCTAGAAGTTGCACTAAGCGAGCAAGGACGTGAGAATTATGTTTGTCCTCAAGCAGCTGTTGACAAAGGGCTCACATTCGCCGACAATTGAGGAGGGGAGACCTTTTTTTCTCAGAAGGGCTTAGAAGAGAAAATGGCCTGCTTTAGGATGCTGATCACAGTTTGGGGGTGAGACAGGCTAAAAGATGTGATTTACTTCTTCTCTCTGTCAGCGTGTGCAAGCCATTATCACCTGGAGAGGAGCTGCTGGTGGCTTTTACATATCAACAGCCGCCGTGTCTGCGCTGCAGCAAATGAAATCATCTCACATGTCTAATTACCGACAAGAAGAGCGAGTGGTGGATTAAGAGAGGGGTTCTCTCCTGTGACGCGCAGTCTTTGAATAATAGTGTCATTAGGTGACACTACTTTCCCACAAGATACTGCCGTTTGCATTCAAGTGGCAGTGAGCCCACTAACTGCAGACATTTATTTATTCTCCTCAGAGCCGAGGCTTTAAGGTCAGCCAGGTAAGACAGGGAATCTTGATAGCTGCGCCCGGCCCTGGAGTTGAAGTGAAAATCCATCAAAAAAAAAGGAGAACTTACAAACGATAGCATGTAATCGATATTTGTTGGAAAGCAGGGAAGGAAAACTCTTCGGAGACAGACCCTGAAGCTATAAATAAACAAGAGGCTGGTGGATTTATGAGATTTATGTTTGTGCTTTTTCACCAAGACTGACTTTATTTCATAGTAGAGCCAAAGGAAAAATGTGTTTGCGTCTGCTGGAGAAAAATCACCACCAAAGTTCACTACAAATGGAGGAAGTCAACATTGATAACAGCGTTACTTGTATTTCTATACTTTTTGAGATAGACATTGATTACAGAACTTAAACGTGAGCTTTCTTATGTATGCTTATGGAGATGTAAGCTACATTTGAGTTTGTCTGTTAAGATTAACAGCAAACGCTCCACTGTTTAATACACTGCGGAGAAAAAAAATGACTCTCTTGGGCCAATCGTTTTAATTTCCACAACGTTTCTTTTATGAATCGCCATGTCATCTCGCTGCAGAGACAAGGACACCAGTGCACCTTTTAATGGGAGAGCAGCACACCAACATCTGCCCACACACTGCGAATGTCAAATGACAAATCCATTAATGGTGTTGGGAGGTTTGGCACTAAAGTGTGCAAACAGAGAACTAAATATGCCAGCCCAACCAGATCATCTCATTAATTGTGGTCATCACTGTGCTTTGTACGTCTAAAATAACACGGGAATCGTTTTTCTTCAATGTAATCGCCTGTAACTTGGTGGCATCATTTGGTCATCTGCATGCATCATGGGCTGATATTTCAAAATGAGCGTAATTATGTTGTTTTCTGTATTGCTTTCATGAGAGATACTTTTCCTTTTTCGAATGTTTTTCTGCCCAAAACAATTATGTGGCAAAATCAGGGAGAAATATTAGATGTAATTGATGTAATTGCACATTTAGAGTAAATGAAATGGAATACAGCTCTGGTTTAAATACCATTATTGTAATCCTGTTACATTTCATCATCTCTGCCTCTCCAGCTTTGCTTTGATGATGGCGCTCTCACCAACAGAGGATGAGAGGAGGCAAGCAGACGAGAACAGAAATGTGATGAGGAGAGGAAAGAAAAGCCTGGGGAATGACTGTCACGTCCATCAAACAAACAACCATCAGATATCTGCGGAGAGAAATGGTGCTTTTCGGCTGTTTAATATTCAAATGGGAAATCTAATTGAGAGGGCTACAGGCAGATCTCCATTTCTGTGTCAGTCTCCACATCAAACAGGCTGATTAGTGGTGCAGATGTCAAAGTCTGACAGTTTGAGGAACTCATTAGAGACTGATGAGCAGACTTAGTGCCCATTAGACATTAGGGCAGACTGTGTGCAGCATGCTTACTGTGCACCTTGCATGCAGGTACAGTGAAAGGTAACCACAGTGCCTTCAGGACACATGCTTTTCTCTCTTTATGAGTCTTCACATCCAAGAACATTGCCCCTCGTACGATAATTATGAGCGGTGTGCAGCAGAGCCTGCTATGACTAATGTGTTTACAAGCTCCCAAGCTATTTTTCTGCAAAGAACACGAGTACAAAGTCAGTTTAAACCCTGTGCAGGTGTGGATAAAAAAAGAGTGTCATTTGGCATCCTTGGAACAAACGCTGCCTCCCTCGTGGCTCAGTCTATATTAGGGGGCTGTGTTTTTTCGTTGTCTATAATACTGTTTTAAGCTGCGTGAAAGATACATGCACAGAGAGGCCTCAAGTGCATTGCAGCTCATGAGGTGTAAAAAGCTTGTGTGAATCCAAGATGTAAGACTTCATTTTGAACTTTCTGTGTCGCTTTCTCTATTGAATATTTGAACAGAAGTGTTGCCATCTGTACCTGCCTTCTTTTCAGCAGTATGTGAAGTGTTGTGCTGCGCAGGGCTATATGTGTTGAGCCCGTAGGAGCAAAAGAAGGGTGAAACTCCACTGGAGCTGATTTTCTTGTGTGTTTTATCTCCCATAAAAGTGCACATAAGCAGCGTGTCAGCCCTTTTATTCTTCATCTCTGGATTGCATCTGGTATTTGAAGAGGGAGCTCTGAGCAATCTGCGATCCTCACACACTTCACCTGTAATCCTCTCTCTCTCATCCCCGCTTTGCCTCACTCTCCTGCCCCTTTCTCCCCTCCAATGTCTCTGTCTTTTATCTCCGTGTCTCTGCCTTTCCCACAAAAGGTGAAATGTGTAACCTTCATTATTGACGGCAGCTAAAAATAACCCCACCCTCCTCAGTTGTATCTCCTCTCTCATCCAATATGGATATCACATGCTACCTGCACACACATTCAGCAAGGTGTAAACCACCTCATTCATTTCACTAGGTCTGTATGAATATCTCCTCATGCTTGAGTGCTCAGCAGGGTGTTTATAGCGGACGTGCCTTCTATGCACTGGGAATCTGGAGTCTTCAAGACAAACTCTCGAGATCTATTTGCACCAAACAACATTTTTTTTTCATTGTCTACTGAGAAGCATCCTGAGGCTGTACCGTGCTATCTCTCTCACTCTCCTGAATACAATATTGTAAATAAGCTATACTACAGTGATGGTATTTTCTTTTTTTCATAAAGACAAGATATTCAAACACATAGACTAACTTATCTGCTGCAGAGTTAATCTGATGCACGAAGCTTGTACTCCACAGATATGAGGACTTTTCGTTGATTTATTAAAGCTTATTCAATCAATATTTGGATTTTTCCTAGCATTACCTTGATTTCTTTACAGTTTCCCTTCAGCAATTAATATTTGCTATCTGTAAATCAGGCCCAAACAAATGCGTCCCTATTAATGCACATGCTTGCAACACCGAGGATGATCTTACCTGATGAGAAGAGAATTACAGGTGAAGCGTTCAGGCCTGCAGGGTCCACTTGAAATGTGCTGAACTTGTGCTCTGCAATTTCATCTAATCCATGCTCTGGTGTGGAAGAAAAACAAAACTGCTTTATTGTCATAGTTAATAACTCTTGAAGAAAGAGACACACCAAGGGAACCCCAAATGGAAAATGACAGACTAATCCATTCCCATCCCGCCCCCCAAACACACTATAGGAATCCTGTAATCTCGGCAGTTAATAATGTGTTGTTTTCCTCTCCTTTTATGCTCCTCTTTCCTTTCTCTCTCGCTTCTGTGCACTCTCCCCTCCTCTCTTACCCGGTTGTCCAGGCGACAGAGTCAGTGAGAGACATTTCTTCCTAGAAGCTCCTCTCTCTCTCTCTCCCATGGCTTTGTTCAGCTTGCTCTGCTGACTGGCTCACTGGTGGAGGAGAGGCGAGCAGTGGGAAAACCTGCTGTGAATCACTGGAGGACGGCATGACAGCCTGGAGAGGTTTAATAAATCACCCCAAAAGTGCCTTGGGCTTGTTCCACTCAAATGCAGCTGATTTTATGTCACCAAGCTGATGCAGTTGTCACGACACTGCAGATGAGCCCCCCTCCCATGCTGTCAGAGTTGGTATGGTCTAGTCTCAGTTTGTGGGGAGGTGGCATGGGAGGTGGGGTGATCATAATAACTGGCTATACATTTGGGAGACAAAAGTGCAGGCAATTTAAAACAATTACCTAAGAAGAGTATGTTATCTCGGGGTTCATGCATGTTTTGTCTGGTTGGAGATGCAATCTGGCAGCTGTGTGAACAGTTCATATTCTAGGTTCTTTTCTGAAATGTACTTTTGTTTTGCTGTGTACCGTAGCGCCCTCGCGCACTCTCATCGAACATTAATGAGCAGCTCTCCCCTGTTGCAGACACATTCAGCACATCCATCGCCTCACCTGTCAACTTCTGCTCAGGTTTTACTTGGCTTTTAGTCCAATAATCCGTCATTTAAATAGGAATGGATAGCTGGGAAGTGAATGTTCACCTTTTTGTTATCTCTTTACCTAGCAGGTGGTGCAGTGTGTGAGTCAAACAAAAAAGAAAGGAGGTTGTAAGAGGCTGCTGCTCACATCAATGCTGGTGTGTGTGTGTGTGTGTGTGTGTGTGTGTGTGTGTGTGTGTGTGTGTGTGTGTGTGTGACGGACCCATCTGACTGTCAGTCACCTGACACCAATAAAGCGAAGCAGAGAATCAAATCACATATTTAGCCGCGGCACTGTGGAAGACAAACAGATATAATAAAACCTGATCAATGCGTTATTGTTATAACTGCATATCGTCATAACACCAAACAGACTGCACAGTGTCTTTTGTCAGGGTTTAATGAGTTCCTTCAATCTCAGCAGACCTTATTCAGTAAACATTTACCACAAATATTGGCAGGCAAGAACTCATAGGCAGTTGACACGTAATAATATACATTTAAATAATACAAAATATACAGAATGCAGCCATTCATACGTCCCCACATGCATACTGATCACACACATGCAAACCTACACAGGGCTTTCAGAGACACACAGGATGTTGGTTATATAAGTTATTGTATGATTGTCACCAATAAAGCAGGTCTTCCTGAAAAACTTAATTTTTATGAAAAAGTATTTGTTTTGGCTTTTAGATGAGACTCACATTAATCACTGTCGGACTTGAGGGAAGAATCTGCCTGAACAACAAATTAAGTTTAAGGAACAGATGAAAAATGTGACACGTCGAGCAATATATATCACACAATGAAACTATAATTGGCACGGACGAAAATGAATCTGCATGCAGGAGGTTTCTGTACATCGAGTCTCTCATATTTGGGCAGTGTCCTTACTAGTGGACGGGGATAATAATTGGGAACTTTTGTATCTCTCTGTGTCATTAACAGCAGAACAAATGGCTTCAGGATATAATGAGAAACTACAGGACATTACCACCTGGATCTAAAATCTAACAAAAGATGGCGTACCAGACCCATGTAACTGACTTTTCTTATACTTTTTGATCATTTATTTTCTAAATACTATGGAATATATATACACACTTTACATTAAAGGGCTGTCCAACTCTTCTCCTACTAACCTATAAAGGAGGATAATGTATGCATGACTACACACAACAAGTAGCAGTTAACAGTATGGCTGATATGTCATTTTGGCTGAGGAAAAAAGAACCTGATATTGATCAGCAGTATAGAGCTGGAAAAACCATCTGCATTCATACTTTAATTTCCGCAAATGACCATGGTTTGGGTTCAGTGTGGCATTGCAGTCAGCTTTGATTGAGTTGGGTTTCCATTTTAATTCCATCTCTGGCGAGTGCTCCCACAAAGGGGATTACAGTTGGAACAGATCTAATCAAACATAGTTTTAAGAGGAAGCCCAGTTTTTATGGAAAGTGAGAAATTGTAGAAGTTTAACATAGTTTGATAACCCTTCCAAAAAAACACCCTAGAGGACATTTGAAATACTCCACATATCATCTACATTGTACACTTACAGCAATAACCTTACAACCCAACACACATTTTGTCACAAAATTAAAAAAACGATTTTGCTTCTTTGACATTTAAACTTTGCAGTAACACTTTGGGCCTGAGTGTTTGATCAATCGGCTCGCTTCAGTTCACAGTGAAAAGCGACAGCGCTGGTCAGAGTGACAGCTAATGGGATAAAGTAGATCGAAATGTGCTATGGTCATTTGTCCATGAGAAGACAGTAGTGCTGCCACACATTGACAAACACGCACACTCTGACACACACTCTCAGTGCTGTAAACTCACATACACTCTCATACTCTCAAAGCTGTCCTGTGACAAGGGAAGTGTTCGTTTCCTCTCGTTAAAACAGATGGGTCTCCCGGATCTCACAGATGATGTTATTGGCTTTTTTGAGGGCCTGAGAAAAAGAAAGAAGAAAAAAGAGGGTGGTTAAATCCCCGGCTTTAAACTAGTAGATTAACGAAAAAGACAAATGACTTGCAGTTCTTGAGTCTGAGAGGCAGCCAGTTTTACCTCGAGCATCTGAGCGACCTCGGTCCGCTGCTGGGCCGTGTCCTGAGACTCAATGAGCAGGTCCTGCAGCAGCGGCTGTTTGTAGAGCTGACCCACCAGCTCACTCTGCAGATGCTCTTTCACAAAGTTCACCAGGAAGTGCATCACTGTCTTGGGCACACTGCGAACACACACAGTTTGGAAAATCAGCATCACTGACAACTGAGCTCAAGTGAGAAGAAAGAAAGGGAAATGGGGAGTGCTCTGGAGTTCAGTCCAACCTGTCCTGGATGCTTTTGCGTACGATGAGGAAGTAGGAATGGATGAGGCGAGAGATAACCTCGCAGTCCCTCTGTTCCTTCGAGCTCAGCTTGCGGGATGCGGGCACCGCCTGGCCGAGGGACAGAGGCAAGGGAAAATGTTGACAGTGAGCAATGTATTCAGCACTAAGTGTTTTGTCCTACTGCTAATCCCGCCACTCACCGTGTCGAGGAGGTTAATGGCCTGGCCTTTCATGGAGCTGCCAAAACCAGCAGCGGGGATTTTCTCTTCCGCCACCTTCTCGTTCTTCCAGCGCTTCCCTCCATCAATGGCCTCCGCCTGACAGCGAGAAACCAGAGGAAGTCAGAAGGGTCAAAGCTATTTCTGGAGTCTGGAATTAGACTATAAAGGAACTCCAATGTTTGGCTGTGAAACATAATGGTTACAGAACTGGACTTCTGCTGTTTACCCTGGCAGAATAAAGGACAAATGAGTGTGCCTGCTGTAAGGGCCAAACACCTACCTGTTGACTGTTGACAGATGCAGAGACCTGCGCTGCGTCCGTGAAGTCGGGATGTTTTGTGTTGATGTAGGCGAGCTCTATGGATACTAAATTGTGTACCTAAAGGGGAAAAAAGCAGAATGAAGGTGGATAATAGGACTTGGCTTGTTAGTTTTTTTAATTAGTATGAAATATTGAAGCGAAGCTGTGGATTACCATTTCATTAGTAATCGGCAGGCGCTTCCTCAGTAATCCAGTCACTACTTCCACAATGGAATCGTGCAGTTTGGGGAATCGCAGAAGCTCCTTGGAGAAAAAAAGACATACTCTTAGTGCTTTCATAATTAATGCTAATCCAAGTCAGTTTATTGAACAAAGTCATTCAAATGTAAAACATATATTAGCATCTCTTGGCTAACCTGTGTGCTATAGGAGGAGCAGTGCTGGATGATCCTCTGCAGCTCTTCATGAACCAGCTCCACACAACGCATACTGGGCTCCTCCAGACGCTTAATTTGCCGCTTCGCCAATAACTCAAAAGACACCTCGGGCACAAAGAGAGCTGGCCGCGGACCCTGCAGGGCAAATAAAACACACACACACACACACACACAGACACACACACACACACACACACACACACACACACACACACACACACACACACACACACACACACACACACACACACACTATTATTTACCTGCACTTCCTCCAAACGAGGGCACTTGACTAGAATTCAGATCAAACTAATTACACAGAGTCAGAGGAAGCTCACCGTAGCGTTGCGGATGGCAGTGAGGATATCAAGCTCAGACAGTCCTCCCAGGGGGTCGATGGACTGTAAAGTGCGCCCAAAGGTCTCATGGAATATGTAACAGATCCGAGCACCCCCGCAGCTGTAGAGGAGAGAGGCTCAGCTGTGACACCAACACAATTGCTCAGCTCATGTTAATCGTGGCCAAATTAAATGCAGTGAAGCAAAAAAAGGTCAATATTTGCCCCGTACTTATTTACATTAATTAATCGCCTTTTGCAAAGAGAGCTGTAAGAGATGAGGGGGCCAGCAGAAGATGCTGATACCACTTAACTTCACAATAACATCAGCCCAAGGCCATTGCCGTCATGATTAAATTGTGAACCAATGTGCATAAAAAGTTGAGTTGTGTATCAACAGTAGAAAATGAGACGACAACTTGAGAAATAATATGAGAGAAATCAAGAAGGCTGCGATCATCAGAAGGAATGAGCTACTGTGGAGAGATCTGACTCACAGCTCTGAGGTCTGGATGTATCGGGCCGTCCCCTCGATGGTGTGGCAGTAATCGCTGGCGAATTTGGTGACGATCTGAAGCAGAGTGGCGCTCTGGTCTTCTACTGGCTGGCCGTAGCTGTTGAGCCGGGCCTGGTACTGGGAGCTGAGCACGGTCACTCTGGTTTTCAGGTCTGGCAGGCAGTCTCGGATGTGGTGCATGAGCAGCCTGCTGAGGGTCTTGGCCAGGTAGCGCGAGCTGGCCCGGGAGGCGATGGAGGGGTAGTGGCGCTGCAGGAAGGCCTGCTCGTCCCTCAGACAGTCCTCCAGGCTCTTATGGGTGTTGATGTCATGCTGGCTCCTATTGGGAGCACCAATCAGCCGGGGAGAGGGAGAGTAGGGAGAGGGAGAGTAATCAGGTCAACAGGGAAATAGGGACACGAACAACTTGGGACTTGAAGCCGAAAACATTACAAAGGTAAAAGAAAAGAAAACATTTGTTATGCAAAGTGCAAACCTGTTAACCACCCCGATAATCCCGAGTCTGACTGGAATGACTCGACCAAGAAGGACCTCCAGAGCGTCCGTCCCTGCATCCATTAAGTCCAGCTTACTGACCACCAGCAGCGTTCGGCGACCTAAAACACACAGATCAGTTGATTTCTACAGAATTGTATTTTATACAGAGGAACACACAAAGTAAGCAAACAGGGAAACAGGTCCTTGATGGGTGGACTGAGGACAGCAGGGAAACATTTAGACACATTCACAGATCCTAACTAGCACACTCACAGAGGCACTTTACGGCCATATTTGGAAGCTCCCAGACAATTACCGCAAGCCGATTCTCATCATCCATCAAGCTCTTATTCAGAGTGCAATGTAAGACAACAAACAGTCAGAAGGCTCTTAACAGTAAAGACTGGCAGTTCCAAAAGCCTGAAATGACTCGAGCATTAAGCATTCTTTGCGCATATTTAATAATTCAAAACGCATTTCTACTTAAGGCATGTTATTTAAAAAGCATGGATGGAGAGGAAGGATATTCAAATGAAATCTGAGGAGAAGCTGTGCCTGTGAACGAAATGTCGTACCATCTGGATCAACCTCACGCGCCAATTTCAGAGCGTCAGAGGTGGCCAAGTCAGAGTTGGCGGGGGACACTGCGAGGATGAGGCAGTTTGGATTGGAGATGAAGGACATGATCATCTCTTGTACTTGTGCCTCAATATCCTCTGGCTGTTCTCCAACAGGAACCTGAGTCAACAACAACAACAACGAGCAGTCAGTGTTACAGTAAGCACAGCACAGATGCCCTGCGATATTATCATGATCTAGTGCTATTATGTTTGCACACATGAAATATAATTAAAAAGGGGCAAAGTGTATACCTTAGTTATTCCAGGTAAATCAACCAGGGTGAGATTGAGGACTTTGGGGGAGAATATCTTCAGGTATATGGGCTCAGGGCTGATTCCCTGCAGGATATGGGGGAACAGACAGATGATGAATGCAGTGTAAAAAGCAACATATAAGGCATAGCTGACTTAAAAAGTAATGCTTTTCCTCTCACCTTGTTCTCCCCTGAAGTGCGTTCGGTCTCAGTGACAATTTCCTGACGAATTTCCTGAAAATCTGTAAAGGTCTGTGAGAAAAGGTGTGAGAATGACGCATTAACTAAACTCAGCACAGAGCACAGGACAAAGACAGGGTTCACTTTTTCACCAATGATTTTCAATGACTTCTCCATGACCTTAACCTAATTTTCCAAAACCAAATTACTCGTTCTCAGCGGTACCACTGAAAATGGTTTATTTTAACATGGAACAGGAAAATAAGGTCTGCATATGAAACATGTTGTGCCTATCTAAAACAAATCAAATAGTAGGCTTACTAGCTCCTACAGGCTAAAGCCACTAAAATCTCTCACCAGCAAAACACCTGGTCAGTTAAAAGCCATTTTAAGTTTCATTACTAAACGATACAGTATTTATTATCATTATAGTATTACTATTTTGGCGATTAGATCAAATATAAATTATATTTGATTCAACTTTAGTTACATTTCCATGACTTTTCCAAAACTTTGGGAAAAATATGCATAATTTGAATCATGCAGATAAATATACCTGGCCCTTGCAGTGCAGGAAAGTACCCCATTCTTCAGCTTTGACACCTGCACGAACATATTTCAGTGAGTGGTTTTACAAAGATGCACCAATGTACTGTTTGGGGATAAATAATGTCATCTCAAATATTACAAAAATGGACTTGACATGCTTGACAGACACAGATCAGAATGAACAGAACGGTTGAGGGGAAGTTAAACAAAGAAGAGCCCAAGCAGAACAAATATAAAGAGACCTGGATAGCTGATTTGGGCATTTTGTTTTATCCCATTTCCTGAAGGAGCAGTGGTGAAGAAGAAAAAGAGGAAGACAGATTGCATGTTAGCAAAGAGAGGCTCCACAAGGAATTGCTTGCAGTTCAAACAGTTAGTGAAAGTGCCATGCCTAAGTGCTAATCACATATAATCTACTTCTAGCAGACGGCATGCCTACACAAATATATAACAAGCATTGTGCTACTTCCTAGGCTGATATTCACTATCTTAATTAGTAACACCCCTTGATTGTGTGTTTTCAGGGATAACCAAAACAGCTGTCCTCTTATGTAAACTGTGTATAAATATGAAGGTACCATTCTCTGTCTTCAGTCTCTCCTGCAGAGGCGCCACATTAACAAGCTGCAACACGAGGGGTCGTCTTGTGACTATTCCTGATCCCCGAGGCAGGAAATCCCGTCCAACCAGGCTCTCCAAAACAGAGCTCTTTCCACTGCTCTGTCACGACAAACGAGTAAAACAATTCAGCATGTTTGTATTCACAATACATAGGATATCTAATGTATGATCAAATAGAAACTCAGTCCAGAGTCCTGGCAGACACAGTAACAAGAGTAAAGTCCAGGCAGGGTTTACAGATAATGATTACGGTTATAATTAAGCTCATCATTGTGTGCTTTTTGTTACTGACCTGACTTCCAACCACGACAATCTGAGGCAGCTGTATGACATCCGCCCCCACGGTGAGAAACACCTCCTGCAGCCGGTTGATGGTGGGAATAAGAGTATCCATTCTTCCAAAAGACTGTGCAAACTTACTAAATTGAGAAAAAGAGAATACACACGAATAGACAGAAAGAAAGAAGAGCAAAGTAGTTTAGCTGACAGCAAATCTCACAGAAACCTAACTCTACAGCCATTTAGGGAAATGCTTGTCCCGTAAGCCCAATGAGAATCAAGCTAGCTGCTTTATAGTCGGAGCAAGAATAACAAAAAGAGAACACTGTGTTGAATGTGTACAACACTGAAGTACACTTCTGAGGTAGTTTACTTGAGTATTTCCATTTGTATGTTACTTTGTACTTCTACTCCACTACAATTCAGAGGTAAATATTGTAGTTTTACTCCAATACATTTCTGTAGTCCCTTTAGATGATAAATAATGATAAACAATATGATCAACACTTGAGTATTTAGTTACACCTGGAGTAACATTCACAAGCTACCCTGCAGTCAATTAAGAAATTCGAATTAATCCCACCATTACCAGCTATGATAAACACATCAATATAAACAATAATAATGTTATTCTGTAATTTGCCAATCTGCATAATGAGTACTTTTACTTTGGGTACTTTAAGTATATTTGTATGTCAATACTTTTGTATTTTTACAAGCATTTTGAATGGAGGACTTTTTCTTTATAGTGTTCCTACACTTTGGCATTTCTAGTAGAAGATAAAGTATCCTTTCACCTCAGTAGATAGCAGCATTGAAGTCTGAGCAAGACAAAAACAAAACACTATGTTGTTAAAAAGGAAGGATAGGTATTCCCTCTGGCTTTGCCAAAGGGTAAAGTGGTCCTGATGAGAGGGGTGTAACGCCCAGGCATCAGTCAGATACACATTGTACCGAATCCTGACCCAATGAAGGAGACATTTTTAATTAACATCTGCCAATTAATCATACATGCATTGGTCTAACGTCTAAAACACATGGTACCAGATGTTATAGCAGCAGAGGTTGTATCAGTCAATGTGAGCGGGCCAAAGCTAACCGGCAATGCAGGAAGTGAATTAGATACTAGCTTTGTGCTAACGTTAGCTTAGCCTCAAGAACCACCGATGCTCCATTATGACCTTACCAATGTCCACCAAATAGTATCCCCGGCTTATCCAATATGTTAGTCCTTCATTATTCGTAGGGAAACGGTAACATAGTCAAAAACATCGCTATTTATCCAAATGGTTAGACGAAAATAAGCAGCAAAATAAATAACCGTCAGTTTACCACATAGGCGGTACCTGAATTTCTCTTCCGCAGTCTGATTGGTCATAAAACATGACTCACCAGCGATGCAGGCACCTGATTGGTCGACCGTTAAGAGGCTGTTTTTGGTCCCGCCCACGTTTCTATGAATTCCCTTTTTGTTTTATTTAACCCCTTCTTGTTTTTAATTCTACAACCGATTTAAAACTCTTCCTATGTGGTATTAATATGGATATTTCACAACAAGGTCAACACAACAACAAAAACAGGAAAATACTTATTTTTCTGTGGTTTAATGTGCATATATAAACATGATATTTACAAATCATACAATAAACATCAGTAAGTTACGGAATAAAACACATGTATTACCTTATAATGGATTGTTAAAAGAAATCACTCAGTCATCATCCAGCACATACATTAAGAACAAATACCCTCAAGTTGAAGTAAGTGTCCTCTGGATAGCAGCCAGAGATCATGTGAGACTAACAGCATAAAGGGACTCCTTTGTACTCAAACATTATGTGATCAGGTCTTGTGTCATTACTGCAACATCTGTGTCAGGAAACAATACAAAAGTTGCCAAGGTTTCTTATCCAAGTCCTTTGGTCATGGACACGAAAGGCCTATTGCTGAAATAATCAACAGTCAAGTGTTATCTGTGTTCACTCAGCCAATGATTAGGCACACAGCTGGGGCCCCTGCTAGAAAACTGATATCATATTTTCCACGCCTCACACCTTCAAACACCTCTCAAAAGACAATCACAAAAAGCCACTATCAGCTAAGCATTCTCAGTCCATATATGAGGTGTCCATGCCGTCTCCTTCAGGGTGAAGCAGTCTTCCCGCCAAGCGCTCAATGTCATCGATACTCAGCTGTCGAAGTGAACGTTCATAGTCCTAGAACAAAAAGAAAATAATGTGAAACAGCAAGTTTAAAATGATTGCTCCGAATCTATTTCCACCATGTAACTTTATATTTAATGTAGCATGAAATAGGGAGGATTGTTGTGATGCAGCCCTGAAGACAAACCAGTTCATTTCACATGTTGGCAGCTAAAATAATGAAGAATTTAGGATTATGTACACTCCACACAGATTAGTTGCGATAACTCACACTCCAAGTCTGTAATATGAATGCATTTAAATAATTTAAAAAAAAAGTCTAAATATGATATTTGGCCTCAAATCATCAGGAGTGGAGTGCACCAGCTTGGAGTGGAGTGCACCAGCTTGGAGTGGAGTGCACCAGCTTGGAGTGGAGTGCACCAGCTTGGAGTGGAGTGCACCAGCTGGGCGTAAGCTGGGCGTAACTCTACTCCGACGTAGAACCGAAGGTTAAGACCAAACTAAAGTTATGACTAGTGCACCACTTAGACTTAAGCCCTGTATGCGTTGCGCCCGGGTGTAACTTTTACGCCTAGTATGGAGCAGGCGTAAATCGGAAAGACAGACTAGTATCCATAGTAACGTAAAACAGGCAAGAAGGATATTAACGATGACAGGGCGTCTTGTTTACATGTTTAACAATGAAAGGGCATTAAGAAGAGTCAATTTCTCCTTCTCCAGCTAAATTTTTTCGTGTTCCGCTCTCAATTTGACGGTCTCCACCTCCACACGAACGATTTCTTTCTCCGTCAGTTCCCGCTGTAGCTCTGACAAATGCCTCTTTCTCTTTCGGGGTGTGGCCATTTGGGATTCCCCTTGAGTCATCGATGACGCTGTGGGTGTGGGAATTCCTTCTTCTCTGCGGTCCTCCGAGTCTGTAAAATGGAGTTGCTTGGCAACAATTACTGTTTCGCGTGTATTCACGTGGACGCGCATCTTAAGACCAGGCGCAGCTACGCCCGAGACTAGTCAGGCTTGGTGCACTCGGTGTAAATTCGAATCACTACGTCGGACGTAGCTAAGCCCGACATTAGAGTTAAGCCCTACTTTTTTACGCCCAGCTGGTGCACTCCACTCCTGAGGCCTGGCGCCCCCCCTGCGATCTTTGGCGCCCCCCCCAGGTGGGGAACCACTGCTCTATGAAACGTCAAGCTACCCCACAGCACCCCCAAAAGAAAATATCTGGCGCCGCCACTAGGCATGACTGTGCTCTGATTAACACCTGTCCCAAACACAATGGGTTGGTGGATACAGAGGGCTTCACAGGATTTCATTGTTGAGTCTTTCATATTTGAGAAAAAGGAAAACTGCATTTATTGGCCATATTTGAAGCAGACTTGAGCTGTTAAGAATGTATTCACACTTTTGAGGATCCAGCCCCTAAATGTAAAAGCAGCTTTTATGATGGCTAAATAGAATGACATTCAAAAAAACACTTTCACTGTCAACATGCAAGAACATGTATTTCTATTATCTTATGACCTCATTCCCATTTGTTTATGAATTATATATAACTGGGCTAAGGCATGTGATGCTGCCTACACTGCTAGCAACAAATACAAACGTGAAAAATTGACTGTTAATAACGTCAGAGTGGATTAGCTAAATCTTTTATCTAAGAATAATTGAATTGTTATACAGTTATTATTGAATGAAATGAAATCCTCAGAACCGTTACAGAGCGTGTATTTTTGTAAAATGTGTATCTTTTTTTATTATAATTTCTTTTTTATCTTTAGTACTTTGATAAATGCTTAGGTAACATTAAGCTGTCTTTGGCTCTTTTCTGCTGTAACAATGTAAATGTCCCCTCTGTGGGACTAATAAAGGTATTCTGATTCTTCAATACCTTAATAAGCTGTTCATGGACTTTTGCTGCATCTGTTGGACTGAAGTGCTTGGCCAGGACAGTGGACACGGTCTGCCACACTCTGCCCTGCGAGCTGCTGCTGCTGCTGCCGGCAGACATCCCTGAAGGACCCGTCCTCTCTCCCACCGGACGGATCACCAGATTCAATTTAGCCTCTGGCCCAATGGAGTAATCACATAGTCTGTGTTCATCTGAGGAAAGCAATATATTATACACTCATTAGTAAACGTTTGATTTATGTTCAAGATAGATGGGTGAATGAAGAAATGAGTCCTGCACAAAGATTATAAAACACTTGACTGTTGGCGAATCTACCTGCGAGCGCTTTCCCTTTATAGAGCAACCGCTGCTGGTTCGCTGGTATGTTGAGACGTTCTGACACGAGTTCCTTAACGGTGGAGACCTTCTCATCTTCAGTCACCTGCAGGAACACCAACAAGATGGCATACTATGTTACATTTGGCAAACATTATGTTTTTCTGTTTAGCTGAAGCGTACTGACATTTTAAAAGAATGTAGTCAATCCGAATATCAGAGGAATTCACATGCACTAGTGACAAATACTTCAGGTTGCATCTACTTCTGGTAAACAGTCTCTCTACCACAATATTCCCTATAGAAAAAAAACAGTCACTGGCCTATAGTGGTGGTATCCCATAAGCACTGAGACATAGCCGATAACAGGTAAGTTACACAGTCAGTGTGCGAAAAAGTACACGTCCCACCGTCCGGGACGTGTTATTTACAATATCGGACAAGTAGATCTTTCAATTGACTTGTCCAGCGGACAAGTGACGTTTTTCGGCCTGATTTATTGACAAATTATTGATACATTCAGTTTACAAAAGGCAGAACTCATTCGCAAATTGTACGTGTCCGCCATTGTTCGTTTATAAGTGTTAGTTTTGGTTTCAGTTAGACGGGAGCGGGGTGGGAAGTGTAGCACAGTGGCAGGGTTGGGAAGCAAAACTTGGTTCCGAGTAGGAACAAATAACAATTGTCCGGTACCGGGATTAATAAGAGTTGTGAGGACAGGAGGCCGAGCCCCGCAGCTCTCTCTATGCTCCGCATCAGCTGATCGCTGCACAGTGCAGCTCAGCGTCTCTCTCTCTCTTTCTACACACAGAGGATCCGCTGCCCGTTTAACAGCCTCATCTTTGTCAAACTTTCTTATGTTCTTTCTCTAACACGTAATGAAGGTTATTAAGCGTTTTAGCTCCTGTGTTGTTAATATTGACCACCATTTCCTTTATGAAGTGAAGCAGCCTCCCTGTCTGTGTCCTCGCGCTGTCCTCACATCCCCGGACCCCCAGACTCAGAGGAGCACAGGGATGTCAGTATTGTTTATGAAGCAGGGTATAGAAAGTACATTATTGAAATGAAAATACTATTTATTTACTTTTACAAACAGTGAGCAGCTGGGCAGCTGCAGCATGTGTATTGCTGGACATGTGTAAGCGTCTTTGAGTTGTAGAAAAGCGCTAGGCCTATAGGCTATACATCTAATGTGTCATTATTATTATTAGGTTATGTCCCATGTGTTGGACATGTGTGGTTGGACTCTGTCTCACAGGCAGGTTGCAGTGTAACATCAGAGGAGACTGGGCCAATTGTTCATTCTCAAACTGCACCACTTAGAACTAGCTAAACAATGCATAGATTATTTTTATATAATTGTATTCAATAACCGTAAGAAATTCAACAGTATGAAGTGATTTGTAAATAGGAATACAGATTTGACTTAATGTTTTAATAAATATATTTTTCTCCCAGTTTGTCATGGGACTTATTTTTACCCTCTCAAAGAACCGGAATCAAGAAACAAAAATAACCGGAATCGAAAAGCAGAACCGGAATCGTTAAAATCCAAACGATACCCAACCCTATGTGTGATTAGTGCTGCGTACCGGTACACCGAACCGGTACTGGACTTGTAAAAAGTTTCGGTTCAAGTCCGGTTAAAACCGGAACGTCGGGAACCGGTACTTGGACTCGCAAAAAAACTAGCACTTACGTATATTCTGGTGTCTGTGGTTATTTAAACATTCCCTGATAAACGTTATTCAATAAATGAGTGCTAATCCCAGTGTGCTCAGTGTACAACATCACATGTCATTTCACCTTCGATTCACGGTTTGAAAACGTAGCATTTCGCCACATGCTAATGCTAACCGGAAGTGAATAATTTTCAGAATAAAAGTATTAAGTTAATAGTGTGAACTTCCGGTTTTTTCAGAATAAAACTGATTTAAATTAAATAGTGTATTTAATTCAAA